GTATGAATGTTTTCCTCATACATTTGAAAAGAATATTAACAGAAATTTTGATTATTATTGTTGAAAATATCAGAAAAAAAAAGTTATAAAGAGGTAACTGAGTTTGCATTAATGAAAAACTGGTAACATGTAAGAAATAAAGTTACGAATTCGTGCATTCCTTGAGTAAAAGCATATGATATGTAGTTTTTTTTAGAATTAGAACTGTTATAGTTCTAAAACAAACTATTAAATTAAAGCTTACGATTGTTAAATTAAAGCTTACGATTGTTAAGAATATTACTATGAATGTTGCGAAATGTAATGGAATTCAATTGACATTACGAGATTCTTACAAATGTTAGAAAATCCAAATCAACTACAAAAAGTAAGAATATTCTGCTACGTATATAGACGATACGGTAACGGCTAAGCAGTATCTTGAAATTGCTTGATTACCGTTAGCTGCCTATTTAATCGCTGGGTTGGAGATTTGACGTTTAAGTGTGACCTTCACACGTAGAATCCTAATACGATGTGATACGACACAAACATGCCGCAGTTACACTATTTTACTGAATGTCAACAGTAAACTGACCAATGCTATAGTTCGTATTTGAGTGTTTCGAAAAGACACTTGAATTATTTATGATTAAAAGCAGAGAATGATTAAAAGCAGAGAATATGCTTTCAGCATCTGTATGTTTCATCATTAAGTGTAAATTGTGGAGGATAATTTGAGCTATTTATTTTGGATTTGATATATTTCCAAAAACGTTTCATATTTTCTTTAATGAGATCCTCAATATTGTTTGTAAAGCGTTATTTTGAACTAAGCGTCGACCTGATCGAAGTAACTTGAAAGTGTCATAGTCTCTTAAATTTCCATAAGTTTTCCACATTTTTATAAAATTTGTCTTTTCACGAATAATCTTAATTAATGCTGGATTAAACCATATAGGGTATCAATCATTGATGCATAACATAGGGACAAATAATGCAATACGTTCATAAATTTTATTATAAATTAGCTGTACAGTATAGTCAACCAAAGCGTCATTTAACACACCCTCCTAGTCAATATGTTTTAAATAATTGTTAATAATTTTGTAGTTACATTTACAGCGTATCTCATCTCTTGCTCTTTCAATTAAAGATCATGAATTTCAATAGTGAATAGAGGGTGGAATGTATAAAGTTTATGTAGAGTAAAAGTTTCATTAAACGTTAACTCCAAGTTACTAAAACATAGATCAAGTATGTTTACTACAAGAATTAACAATTTGATTAAATTACTTAAAACTTCAATAGTACATCGCGGGCTGCTGAGTTTCAGTTTTTACTTTAAGTAAACACGAGTAATGTCACCCCTTTGATTACTGCATACAACGCATGTTAAAGTCTCCCAACAAAAGATAATTATCAAATGGACTAAGTTTACATAATTGTGCAATGGTTTGTTTGAGACATTCTTATAGATGAGAAATGAAATCTTCTTTAGGTGGCAAGTAAATGAAAACAATATTTAAGTTACCATTTGAGCCCGGTTTCCCTCTCGCACCTTTGTACATATAGACTCAAAGCAATCACTCATCCCATCATTACTAAGCGTGGTACATAGATTACGATGGACACATACCATCACACCACTTCCTATTTTTTTTTATGTGTAGTGGCAAGATTTCAATCACGGCAAAAAATGTAGTTACCTACTTAATGTCGCAAATTTCCGAGTCGGTAATGTCGTCCTGCAACCATGTTTCTGTTATTAGAGGTAAATCATAATCATTGTCAAATAGATTGTAAAATATTAATAAAGACTTATAAGTATTGATGATTATAGATCAATAAAAACAGATTATTATAATTTAATTATTATAATTACTACTATTATAATAATAACTAACAATATAATCCGAGTAAATGATAAGTGATTCATAATCGTGTAAAAACAGATTCACACTATAAATATCCATATATCTATACGTAGTACAACAACAAAGTCGCTTGCCGTTGTCTGTACACTGTGATCTTTTAACTACACAACTAATTTTAATGGAATTCTCATCAATATATAGAGTTAATTTACATATAGCTACCTAAATATATTTCGTATGTTAATTTTGTTATAAAATACGTAATATTTAAAAACTCAATTCCACCATAATAATCAAAATATAAATCATGGAAATCTGGACACATTTTGCGGGAAAATATTGATTGAGGCAAATGAATTCTTTGTGTTTGAACAAACATTATAATTAGTATGTAAGGCATTGTTTGCGCTGCGAAAATTAATTCATCAAGAGAGATTGGAAATGTTATACTTATAATTATTTCTCGTAGTTGGCATAATAAAATGGCAGACCAATATAATAATAATAATAATAATAAAATACTTTATTGCACTCAATATGATACATAGTTTACAAAAAAGCTTATTATCTAAGAGATTGAGTAAACAAATGGCGGCCTTATTGCTAAACAGCAATTTCTTCCAGGCAACCTATGGTGAAAATGGATAAAAAATAAAGATACTATGGGGAGTGGGTGCAATATAGAGATAAATAAATAGCGTTAATATATTATAATAAACAAAAAAAAAAAATTAAATAAATGTATACATATGAAATGAATTAAACAGTTTAATAGTGAAAGAATAATGTGAAAATAGTTTTAAGATGTGGAAAGGAAATAATTTCTAACTTCATCGCTAAAGGATCCCAATGATCGAGCCCTCCTGATACCCTCTGGAAGAGAATTCCACAGACGCACAGCATGCACAGCAAAAGAATAAGAATAGAAATCTGTATAGTGACGAGGGATTTCGAGAGTGAGGTTTGAAGAGGAACGTAATGTACATTGTGACGAAGAGGAGCGAAAAGAGAATGATTGTTTAAGATATGGTGGAGATGATGGGAGGAAAAGTATAGAGTAAAGAACCGTGAGAGTATGCAAGTCCCTGCGTCGGCGAATAGGAAGCCAATTTAACTTTGAACGGTAATACGACACATGGTCATATTTTCGAAGATTGAAAATAAATCTAATGCATACATTCTGCAGACGCTCTAGTTTGGTGAGAAGTTCTTCTGAGAGATCTGTATAGCACACATCAGCGTAGTCGATAATAGACAACATTAGGGAATGTGCCAAAGTGATTTTGGTACTGATCGGCAAAAAATTACGCAGACGACTCAGTGAACCATACGCAGCAAACACCCTCTTCCTAACTGATTCCACCTGAGGCTTCCAAGAAAACTGTTGGTCAAAAATAACTCCAAGGTTTCTGACTGTTTCGGAATAAGGGATAACAGTACCGTCGAAAATGATAGAAGGCAGCTCACTAAAGTCGATCCGGGAAACGAAATGACGACTGCCTATTACTATAGTTTGAGTTTTAGATGGATTAACTATTAGACCGTATGATTTACTCCAGGCACTGATAAGTGACAGGTTAGAATTAGTAACCAAAACAGCCCTCGAGAGGCTAGTTAACGGTGCCTGAGTATAGATCTGGAGGTCATCAGCGTAAAGGTGATAGGAAAATGAAAGAGACTGTGTGATGGAATTTATAAAAATAGAAAAAAGCAGAGGAGATAAGACGCCACCCTGAGGAACACCGGCATCAATATCACACCACGCAGACACTGTATCGTCAACACGAATACGTTGCCGGCGCCCTAGCAGGTAACTTCGAAACCAATCAATTGCAGCCGGAGATATATTAAGAGAAGCCATGACACCGAGAAAAATGTCAAAATCAACGGAGTTGAAGGCGTTACTAAAATCAAGTAACGTTAACAGTGTGAGCTGTTTGTTCTCCATACCCCATCCAATATCATCGGTAATCTTAATCAGCGCAGTAGTAGTGCTATGGCCCGAACGGAAACCAGACTGAAAAGGATTGAGGATTTGGTTGGAAGTAAGGAAAGCAGTAAGCTGCTGAGAGACAAGTTTCTCAAGAACTTTGGAAAGAAAAGGAAGAATAGAAATAGGACGATATTCGGAGAATTCGGTAGGGTTTGATTTTTTCGGAAGTGGAATGACGTTTGCATCTTTCCAGGATGTGGGAAAAACTCCAGTCAAAACTGAAGTATTTAGGATTTTGGTAATTATGGGGCACAGGATATCAATAATGGGTAGGATCATATTGCGACTGATAGAATCACTACCCACTGCACTGGAAGTAATAGATAAAATAGCTCTCTTAACACCACAGTCCGCAAATTGATGAATGAAAAAGGGGGAGTTAAGAGTTGGTAAATTCGAAAGACGATGCAGAGTTTCTGCCTTACAGTTTCCATCAATAGGAGACGAGGTAACAATATATTTATCTATTAATAAAATATTACCTAGTCATTTAAGTGTAACTTAAATAATTTCGAAACCAAATTGTAATAAAAATGCTAGGTGGTACATGATTGTAAATAAACTATGCTATTACTAATTAATTATTTTTAAATTACGCAAAGAACTTTTAGAATCGATATCAAAAAAGCGCGTAAACGAAATTGGTGGTGCACAAAAAAGTATTTAATATAAATTATTATTATTTTACAGTGCGCCTTCATCTATCTGAATCGTTACTTGATTTTACGTCTCGCTTTCTCTTCTTGTTTTATACTCACTCAATTTGATGGAAAGTAGCAACGAGGATACTACAGTATCCAGACCGGAGATAATATAATACGCTTATTTCCTACATCGATCCAACTGGAAGTCAAATCCGGGACCCCAGAGATGGTAACACGCAGTAAATAATATATTCAAAATTAATAGTATTAAAAAGTACGATCAATTATTAAATTAATTTAAAATCGAAAAGGAGGTTGTATGTTCAATGAATAGTATTTTTTATATATGTTTACAGATTTTGTCTCAATCTGTAGATCCATTATCAAAATTATTCTATTACTCGAAAGCTTACGATAATTTGTGCCCATCGTGTCACCATTATCCAATGTAAAATATCGTTATTTTATTACGACATTTATGGTTCACCAGAATGAAAATCAAATCACCTGTATATAGGCTTCCCTCCGGTGGCCTTCCCGGCGCGGAACCACAACACCATGTAGACGCGGTCTTCGTTTGTGTCCGGCGTGACGTCACAGGGCAAGGACGCCGTGCGGCCCAACACAGCATCCACGTCCACAGTAGATACTGGAAATAAGATAAAAGTAAATATTACTAAATATGGTAATTATATGGAGGCCTATGCCCAGCAGTGGGCGTCTCTCGGCTGATATAATGATGATGATGGTAATTATAAAATCTTTGATGAGGAGCAAGCTTCATCTAGATGGCGTTATTATCGCTTTATTCTCCGAAAAATGAATATGACAAGTCTCTTATAGTAAATAAATTTAGGAGGAACGAAATTCTGCCAGAATAGAGAACCAACGTTGTAGCGGATTCGCGCTCGTGTTCGTATATTATACATATAAAACCTATTTTTTTAATCAAACCGCATTAAAATCCGTGCTGTAATTTAATAGATCTTAGCGTACAACAGCGGGAGGCGACTTACAGATTAAAAAACATATGTACGTCGATAGCATTGCCTTTCACTCTATGTAACATTTTACGCCATTATTGTATCGTATTAAAACATATGTGTCTGTCGAAAATTGAACCTATTCATTTTCAATTTTGAAATCAGTTATAAATAATTGTTATATCTATCTACTATTAGCAGTACTATTCTGTAATAACAGCACAGCATTATCACAGTATAGAAGTTTAATCAAATTAAATCGCCTTAAAAAGATAATAGAGGCTTCATTCCATAAAAGCTCTATGCAGTGAGTTATAGGTTTTTTTACATACATAACGTCAACGTTGAGAGTGGTGCGATCTTCATGTGACTCATAAAGTGTGATCCACACGATTGAAGTAGAGCGTTATAATAAAGGTGACTTTAGTAGATTATGTTTTAAATTGCTATTCTGTTAATCTACTTTCAAATGTAATAAAGGCTATTTTGATGGAACTTCTAATGCTGAGATAGATATGTGTTCAAAGCTCTTCTATCGACGCTATATTATTGAATACTAAAGCTCGCCGAGACGGATGGCAACGAACACACATTGCAACTGTGTCGAGCATACTTTACTTCACATTGTGTGAAGAAGCTGTCTACATATAGAGTAATGTAAAATATATCAGCCCATTCGACTTTTGTGAGTTGTGCAGAATGTCTTCTATATTTTTCTTTGGTATCAATAAGGAATTGTTTTGATGATCGTAGGTGTTGTTATCTTATAGTAGTTTTGTTAAAATAATAGGGATGATGACTAATTTTGTTTGTCCGTCAGGTAGAGTGTTAAAAAATATTAAACACGTATTTTTTTCATAATCACTAATCATAAAATTACGGCGTTACATTGAGATGAAATTTCGCATGACGTCACGTTAGAGTACGTTTTCTACTCAACTGTGACGTAGCGAGCCCTCGCTCCTCAACTTTAATGCCTGTAATCTATACTATTACTTGTTAAATTGAAGTAAAAAAAAAATACTTATCTAATATTTTTCTATTATCTCACTGACGGACTAAATAGAATTGCATTTTTTTTACCCAATCATCATCCCTATTGGTTTTCAGATATATCGGGAACGGTAACTCTGAACTACTATAAAAAAAAAACGGATCCATGTTTTTCTTTAAAATGAATAGATGCAGTTGCTATAAACACAGGTAATTACGAACTGATTAGGTTTGAGTGAGGTGCCATTTTCTCTAGTTAACAAATTGGATTGCAATGCCCACTAAATAAAAAGCCAATTTCCGCAAATTGTCCACGCACGAATGGGCTTTGCTTTCAGGATAATCGAGATGCGAATAGTGAAGCCTCGTTACCCGTGAATGTGAACGTAATGTCGATATCATCTGTTTCGCTCTCATGCTGTCTATGAAAATTAGAAGTAAATGAGTCTGTGGAACATTTTATATCAGATACAATTCGTTCTATGTTAGATATTGACGATTTTGACAAACAATTAAAACAATTGCAAATCAAATTCAATAGTCGATAAGTATCCTGCAAGTAAGGTATATGTCTTAATCAAAAAATAAATCTATAATAACAAAAATTCCCTGTGTATCTCGGATCAAATGTGCGCACCATCTTTATTTAGAGATCCAAGATATACAGAACAAAACGAGCAAAATTGTATTTTCCTAGTATTCCGGAGAAACCAGAGACGACTGCAAATGAGATTGGAAGCCGATCAAAAACTCACTCAAGGGCATAACTCAGTGGAATATGGTGTATGAAACCTATGCCCAATGACACATTGAACAACGAGTCATTTTACTGTGTCGAATGTAAACTAAATAAAACTACTATTCTTTTCAGTCGAAGCACAGGATAAAAACACTCATCTTGTAATATGAGCGACATTGGTTAAGATTGTATTTTACTTTTTGTGATGTTGATTTATATTAATTTTGCAATGTTATAATATTAAAGAAAGAAAAAATGCATTTAACCGTACGCCATACCTATTGCGCAGAGGAAGGCCCTAATTACTCCTATCATTTTACAATACTTTTCATTTCTATACAATTTGTGTTAAACAACTTTAAGGACTGTTACGGCAGGGATTAAATACCTATCTAAGAAACTATCCTGTGTAATTGCCTACCAGTTGACTTTATAGTCGATTAAAAGTGATTTCCGGCCATTCATAGACAATTTATTTAAAAGTTATTTGCCGGAATAGCTACTTATAAAATTACAAGGATTGCCCGTAAACTACGAAGTGTTAAGAGATGTTACCCTCGAAAAGAATCTCTAAGTGAATAACACTGTTCCCCAGTACACAGTTATGATTCTTAGCTCTTTCTTTCTCGGGGCTATAAAGGGCGCATGAATATAAATAGGTGTAATATTAAATTCTTCCTCGTCCGTTCCTACCGCAAATAATCCTCTTTTCTTTACGCGAAACTGTCACCATGTTGCGACGAGTAATGTGAACCATCATTCATACTTAGGAACAATTTTCAATTTGCCTCGTGAAGACTGGAATAAAGATAGATTATTACTGCCTGCGCGCTGGTGGTTTGGTACAAGCCGATAGTGTTATGTTTCATTTGGAGGCCCAATGAGAAACACAAACATGACCATAAATAAACGTATTTATTTACTGCTGAAAAGGACGCGTATACCAAAAGTTTCCGTTTTTTTTAAAATTAACATACTTTTATTTAAACTATGTTAATTAAAAAAAAATATTAGCTGTCGTTAGAAAAGAAACTGTAATATATCCAAGGGTTTTGTAACACTCAGGTATCGAATTTATTTTCTGAAGTTGCCTTAAAAAATCATATTTTTTTCATAGCTCATTTTGTTTATACAAGAACGTAAATATTATAGTTAGTTTTTTTGATTGCCGGGCGCAAGAACAATATTTTGTCTTGCTGTCCAGCTTTAAAGACTTCTCCCACTAAAACGTCTAGATTACCAACCATATCACTACTACTATAGTACTATAATATGATGGTCTGTCACCGACCGAGATCAGAGCGACGATGTACACAGCTGAAAATGTTTTGTCTGTGTCAGGACGCTCTGAGCATGGAATGAGACGGTGTTTTTTTGGTGACGAATCGAACTTGTAGGTTTTGTTTTCGATGATTCAATACAAATATTATGTCCTGGCAAATTCTATGCTTTGCAAATGGGTTTTATACGCATCACATACGAGCTTATCATGCAGTTGACCAGATTCATGGGGCAAAGTTTTTCGTCCACAGTACGGTGATGATATTGCACGAAGTAATGGAAAGAGGCCATTACAAAAATATAATCATTCTAGTTCATCCTTCTGTTGACCTATTTATTGTTCTTCCAGCATTTACTATGAAATCGGTATTATTTCAAATAGTATGCTTAAAATCCTTCGTTATCATTCTGAAGATGTTTAGACGCATAAAACACTACAGTAACATCAGGTTACCACAACTTGTGAAGTTTCAGTTCTTTTATTAATTATCTGTTTTCGCTGGTTCTTTAAATATACATTCTATATTATCTTTTATTGAAATAACAATTGGAAAACAAATTGTATTAAATTCTTAATAAAAAAAAGTTTGTTACTTTAAACTTTCGTGGTCATTTACATTAGACTTATAGTTTTTTGCGGGTTTGCTACCATGTACGTATGATTTTCTTGAGTTCGCGATATTTTTAAAAAAATATACATCATAATCTACCTATGACATCCATCCGAAAAAAACAGTTACTTCTTGATCATGGTGCTTGTAACAGCGCCAAGTAGTAGCAAGAGTTTTTACTTTGAAATAAAAATAACAACTGTTGTATTCTTCTATCAAATTGAGTTTAATTATCCTTATTCATATTAAATAATTTGGCCTAGACAAACATTGCTTAAATCAGTTTATATCTAATTCAGCTTTAACACGCTCCAGTATTGTGCTCAGATTAGCACGACATGTGGATATTAGGCTATAACCACAACCAAAATGTTCTCTATAAAAGATCATAGTCCTTTTAATGGTGTTATTAGACCTTTATTAAGCAGTTCTCTCATTTACGTGTTTAAGTATCATTGCCTTCTTTTTCTTTTTGTAAATTTATATGTGAATTCTTTCCGTTTATTGCTAATAGGATATTTGGAAATCATGTGTGATTTATCTTTACATATGTATTTAGCTTATTCAGATAATTAATGATGTATATTAATAAAGTAAATACATGTTTTAAAAGTTTAGCATACCTATTATAAGTGTAACATGAAGTCATTTTGTAATATATTTGGGTTAAGGTCAATATAAATTATAGAATTGTGTTGTTGATGTCGTACTGCACACCAGGTAACTAATAAAGGCTATTATAAAGTTGTGCAGTTCTGCAATCAGTTTGAATTTTACTGGCTTGAGAATAATTGGAAAAACTTTACACTTTTGTCGGATGTTATAATGTAGATCTTCTTCCATACTTGCGATCAGATTGTTAACATTCTTGCGCGTGCTATTTATTTATTGGTTCAAAATAAATTAAAAGTTTGTAAAAAGTTTTAGTTTTGGCACCCTCATAAACCGTTAGTTCTAAATGCAATCGTTGTCGGTGGTACATGCTAATCAGTGTTTCTTTCCATGGAGATTAGTAACTGCATATGGCCCAGCACGTTAAAAG